GGATGGATGGATGGATGGATGGATGGATGGATGGATGCAAAAGGCTCTCTGTGGAAGAAAATTAACCTCAGATAAACCCCTGAATATACCATTCCCATCAAGGTGTATCATGCTTTGTGATGCAATGTGTATAACTAAGCTGCAAAAACAATCTAGAAATGATTAAAAAAAAAAATTCAATGAATGTATTTACCCTTAATTTGAGCAGGTAAATGGAATGAGGATTTATACTCTTTAAATAAAATAATTAGATAATTTGTACTTGAAATAAGATAATGCGTTACTTTTTCCCTATTTTGCATGTAAATTAGCTTACTCTATTCGCAAAGTATCTCACCTACCTCCTCAATTCAAGAAATAATGCACTTATTTTAAGAAAAAATTACTTCTTTAGAGTTCAAGTTTGTGCAGTGTAGGAGATCTCCACTACACCTTGCTGTACTGTAATAAACTCCTTGTTTGCACCTTCTTTAATTACTATGCCAATATGTGACCAGTGAATTTCTCCGCTGTGAGACCAATAAAGCTCATCTATTCTAATCTAATCTAATCTAATCTAATCTAATCTAATCTAATCTAATCTAATCTAATCTAATCTAATCTAATCTAATCTAATTATAAAAGAGACCATTAAACGATATTAAAGAATGTGACACAAAACAGATTTTTTTTTTAAGGTGACACATTGTTGTTTATGTAACTCAAGATTACTGGTTGACATTAAACATTACAAACAAAGATGCATCCTAATGACAGGCTACAGTTTTTTTAAGTGCATTTTTTAAGTGCATTTTTTAAGTGCATTTTTTTTTTACATTTTTCATTTGGAATTGTCTTGAATAATTATGAGAAAAATTTTAATAAAAAGATTTTTGCAAATATTTTAAGCATAAGAGATATACAAAACTGGATATAAAACTATGTAAACAAAATTTGTAGTTAATAGCATCCACAATATAAAATGAAACATCAAAAGGAGGCAGCATGTCCAAAATAGGAAAAGAATGTACCCTACAAAGAATTAAAACAATATAAAACACAGAGGGAGAGGATGAACAGCGTTAACCGGAATGCTATGTTCCAGTCACAATGTTTTTTCTCATTATTCACTCCAGGTTGTGTTGCTGGCATCTTCATGCTGTCCACACACTGACATTTTGAAGCATCCAAGGCAATTTACTGTGATGCAGGGTTCCTGTAAAAAGACATATCTTTAGTGTCTAGTTAGGATTAGATTTCGATATTTTCTCATTTTGCAGAGCTGGAGTTTATTAAGAGGTTGAAAACCCCTGGCAAAATAGGAAATGGCTTTCTGGCTCTGAAAATTCGATTTATTTTTATTTTTATTATTATTTTTCATACGACTCAGCCAAATAGGTGATGGTTGCAGCTAGCTGGAAGTGATTCAACCTTAAAGCAAAGTTCATAAAAAGAATGACACACTATTTTTACTTGTGTGTATGTCAACGTTATGTGATTTCAAATGTAGTTAAACAGTTAAACTAGGAGTTTGTTTTTGTTTACCTTGAGCACATCTTCATCTCAGGGTTTGCTTTTTTCTTACTGTAACTAAAAAAAAAAAAAAAAATTGAAGAACCAAAGCTTAAACTTAAAGTAAGCTAAAACAGAATACCTAAAGTTCAATAGGCTCAATATAGAGACGTGCATACCAATCACATAAATCCACAAAAGTGAAATCTAGCCACATGTGCTGTTAATTTCACCACTTAGACATAATTTAAGAGGAAAACATAAAATTTCCTCTACGAGAAAATAAATCCAGTCATAAAAGAAAGGAATTTACTAATGGTAGATGCTGAAACACTATCTTAGTTTAGTGAAAGGGCTGAGTAGGTTGATGAGGAGAGTTAATGCTCCTGAGAAATATGCAGACAGATGATGGTTTCAGATTCGCAGGCCAAACTATTATCTTATCTCCCCCTTGCACCTCAGTAAAACTGAGGTGATGATGTTTTAACCTCAAAATAACCCAAGGGAAGACTAAATTTTATAAACTAATTTCACTTTTAAACCTGAAAATCATGTTTTAATGCAACTTTTTCTTATATTGACAAATGCATTTTGTTGAATTTTAAAAACTAAACTGAACAGTGCTCTTAAAAAAAAAAAAAAAAGATTAATTCAGGAATCTGGAAGCCTCTGCTTCTGTTTTCCCCATATTCCCGCAAACACCACAAGCGTCTTGAGTTGATTTATTGGAGTGTTAAGCACCCGAATGTTTATGCCTTGTTCCCTGGATGACACCATCTGCTACTAATCTGTATTTCCGTCATCGTCTGCACACAGCAGCACTGGATCTTTTTGGGACACGGTCAAAGATGGAGACACTGATTTCTCAGTCTGACTACCTGTGTGGCTTAGTCTGGATATTTTTTCCAAGATATTCAACAATGTTACTTATCAGTTGCGTGCATCAATGTAATGCTTTTTTTTTCTCCTGTAATGCAGATGTACTGAATACTGAGGATATGCTGCACTTTAAAAAACAGAACTCGAAAAGAAACTATTTGGGAGCCAGACTTTATATGCCATAGTTCTAGTTTAAATTAATGTTATTCATTACAGTTTTAAAGCATTACAATAAGCAGTGAATTAAGACATGGTTTTGTTTGGATTTTGTACTCATTTGCTCCCTCATTTGTGCACTAAATTGTTTGCTAAGAATGACTAATGAATGAATGAAAGCTGAGAGGTTTTCAAACATTACAAATGAAAAAAAGGGGGCAATTCTGTTTGGTTCTGTTTTGAAAGAAGAGAGACATTTCTAATCACAAACTGGCTCAAAATTTGAAACCATTTTTTTTTTATATACAAGGAGAGTAAAAGAAAGCCTCTTCTCAATCAAATCATCCCCATTTTGAAAATAACAGCAAACTGATCAAACGTAACCATACCACTATCACAGGATGAAATATGAAACACTAAGATGGTTACATTTGGATGTTAAGGTTAATTGGTTGTATACATCAATTTAGTTTAAACAAGTGAACATATTTTTAAACTAAACAGTATTACCCCCTCCCTGTTCGTAGTGAAAGGGACATTTGTACTATAACCAAGTATAAGAGATATTACCAAGATTACACACTTTGACTAAGGTTAACAAGCATACAATCAAACTCCTGGTTTATGATATTAGGATAGAATATGATATTTATTTATCCAAATCTTTTTTTTTTTAATGTGGCACAGTTAGTTGGATTTGAGAAGAGATTAAAATGGGCCTCAACATTCTACTCGGAGTGTGATTTTAAACTTTCATTAGACACTTTGACGAGCTTTTGTTTTTCTAATCCGATATTATTTTTAATGCTGTTACATATTTTCTTTTCAGCACAAAGACTCCTTAGAATCCAAGTTATGATATTTTTGGATTAGGGACATAAATGGGTTAGAATACAATTTAACACTGGTATAATGAATAAAACAAGGCATAGATTGCCATTTTTTCACAAAGACTTTACTAAGTGTTTATCCTAGCCATTTTTAAAGATTGCATTCCTAACATAAATATTCATAATTTGCAATTACGTCTATTTCCTAAACACATGCACGAACATCTCCATCACATTTAGATGTTTACATGGCGGCCCATGGTTGTTTGTTTTTAAAGGAGAAAGCCTCTTTTCTTGGCAGTACTACTAAGCCTTGCAATGTGGCTGGGTATAATGTTTGGCATCGTCTTTTTGAAACCAAAAAAACAAAATTAAAGACAATGACCTAGTATGTTTTGGGGGTGAATGGCATATTTGTTTGCCCTGTTACATCATTGCAAGAAGATCCTGGGTTTTATGTCCTGGTTGGGGCCTTTTCTGTTTGAAGTCTTCAGTTTTTATATGCAAAGACGATTCCACTTAGAACTTTGGTTTCATCACATTGCTCAAATAACACAACCTATAATTTCAAACAAGGGTATGGGAAATCGAAGACTTAATATTGTTCAAAACCATACATGGACAAAGTTATTTCCTACTTTCTGTTTTGTTCAAACAGGGAACAAACTCACCTGCAACGAAAAATATGACTTTTTATCGGACATGAGTGCTCTACATCTCAGTTTATTCAAGAGGGAGAGTTGCTCTTTTTTTTTTTCCCAATTAGTTTGATTTTGTGCCCTTCCATTTTTCTAGTAGGCATTCATGGGTAGTGACATGTTTTAAGGAGAACATTCTTTAAACAGGACAACTTATCTAAATCTAATAATTCTTTAATTTTTGATTGTATTTATCATAATAGAAAAGGCACAGAAAAAGGAAAACCTTGGCTTTTGACCAAATTGATTAAACTCAATGTTCAGTAATAACTTTGGTAGAGGTAGTTGTATGAGTAGCATTTGACCTTCCAGAAAAATGGCTTTTATTTGTCTGTAAAATGTCTGCAATACTACTGTTTTTATGATGTGTTATTTTTGCTTGATTTGGCACTTTTAACAGTAAGGGATCTGCTTAAATTTCTCACTATTTGAATTCTTAGACCTGGCTTGTTTTCTGTATGCTGCTGTTGTTAATCAATGCTTTACCGAGCATCATTTGATTTCCCAGAAATCTCACTTTTTCTCTCAAAGAATCCACATCACAACCTTAGTCATCCAGCTTTTTACAACTAGATCATAAACAACACATTG